AATTGTGTCATTATTATAATATTTAAATATAATATATATTTATTACGTCATTCGGTTCGACCCCGGTTCAACCCCGGTCGAACCATCAAACCTCTAACCCCTCCTTCTTCCGGTTCATTGACCGGTCCGGTTTTAAAAGCCTTGCCATCAACGATGTTGTTGACTCAAAGTATTGATGTGGTTTGTAAGATCTAAATTTTCTTAGTATGAGTCCAAGTGGGGCATTTTAAATCTTGTTGACAACTACACTTCTATGATCTCTATGGAGAACACATTAGTTAGTCTTGGTTCACCCCTCCTCACTCAGTTGAGTGGGGGAGTGGATTATTCATCACTACTGTGGTAGTGGATCTCATATATAATGGGTGTCAAAGTTACTGCCCTAGTGCTAAATCACCTTCTTTATATCATCAAGTTAGAGGATCATTTTAACATTTTTTTCTCATTGGGCTTCGCTTTAATATTTCTTGGATCATTCTTCTGAGTTTTTCCTACAACTCCATAGTTCTCAATGTTCTTTGATATTTTGTGATGTGGTTACCTTAATTCTGATAGTGTTCGATTTTTTATTACTATCATCAACTTATGCCCATCACATCTTAAAAAATATTTGATCTAAATTTATTCCTGATGCTGCACTAATATATATATATATATATATATCTTTCTTTTTTTTTTTTTATAAAAAAAATTCCTGTTGCTACATTAATATCAATCGCAGCTGACTTTAAATTACTGCTCTAAAAAAGTGAAGTTATTTTGATTCCAAATTAAATTTCTGATACATTTACCTAGAATAAATGAAGAATGGAAGATTTCTACGGTCAGGTTTCCCTTAGTTATATATATATATATATATATCTTTCTTTCTTTTTTTTTTTATAAAAAAAATTCCTGTTGCTACATTAATATCAATCGCAGCTGACTTTAAATTACTGCTCTAAAAAAGTGAAGTTATTTTGATTCCAAATTAAATTTCTGATACATTTACCTAGAATAAATGAAGAATGGAAGATTTCTACGGTCAGGTTTCCCTTAGTTACATGTCGAGGGATTACTGCTTCGGCGACTTTCCTTGAGTTCATAGCTTGGGAAGTTGCCTCGATTTCACTTGAAGTCGCTGAACAGATTTGTTTGGATCTAACGACAACGAGCGAACATGTCCGGCCTGAATTCGCTGTTCAATCGAGCTACTTTTGGAACGAGATGGTTCGTTTCTTAATATCTTTGATTAGGGTTTAGTTTTTTTCTCTGTACTTTTTTCTCACTAGCAATCCTTTATCTACAATAAGACGATTTTGATGAGGTAATTCTACCAGGAACACCAGTATTACGTCAGGAATTGTTCTTTTTTTCTGTGATTTCTTTGATATTAAGAATAACAAGGAGGGTATTTATGATCAGGAGAAGAACATTAAGCTTTCATTTTGTGCTCTGACTGTCGATATACTATGAGGAACAATTTTGATAATTTGTACTGTCTTGGCATTTGTTCAACTTGAAAGAATTGTAATTTATTAAAAATATCAATATGACTGTAAGATATGAAATTTTGATAATTACAACAACATGACCTCTTTTAATTGTAGCTATACAAATCGTAGGGTTTGATTCGTTAAATCACTTCGTGAAAGTCTTGTACTTGACTGAGAAAACCAAAAATATTTATTCTCAATACTAATTGTTAATAACCTTGATTAACCAAAGCATGCCAGCTAGATGACTATACAGCTTCTAACTCAGTAGGTTTCCTCCTGCAAGTGCCTGAGAACTGCCTGAACTAGCAGAATAAATTGGAGCTCTCCTAGTTTAATTTGGGCCACTAAATGACAAAGCCTGGCTAACCACCTCCATGTTAAGTTAAAATTGAAGAGCTAATCTTTGACTGATGTTGCGCTGAGAACAATCTAAGCATTTATTTCCTTCAGATTGATGGCTGGATGTTTGTGGCAGTATAATTTTATAGTATCATTATCAACCACCTAGAAAAATCCTTTTTTTATCTTTGCTGTAATCATAACCTGAGGGGTGGTGGGAGTTCACTAATTCTTTGCCACCGATTTAATTCCACACTATGATGACTAAGGAAAGTAGATGGATATAACATTTAAACAAATCTAAATATGCGAAGCTAAATTATATAACAAGCAAACCAAACCTAACCACCACACAAGGTTTACTTTAGGTGTATGATAAAAATCTTAACTGACGAAAGTTATTTGGCTATGAAGCATAATGTAAATATTTAACTAATTGCGTAGACAAATAATACTGCACCAAAGTTATAGAATCACTGTACTTAACACAAGAACAGTTTTAGCATTCACCAAAAAGATATTGCAACGAAGCAACTTAAATATATAAATAAGAAGGGAAGTGCAAGGTATATAAATTATAGAGCTCTAGGGTGCAAAAGATATTTATATTGTTTGGCCCTCACTAGGTTGACATTCATGCCTTGAACTCACCAGTTTAGGATTCCCGCTACAATGGATTGCAACTACAATTCAAACCTCCTTTGGCTGAGAAGCCCTACATCCTAACACTATCTTCATGGGCTAGTGCAACCCAAACTTCATTAAGCATCTCCAAAGAATCAATAAACTCTCCATTATAAGAGAAATTATATAAGCCAAAGTTCCTTGAATTTGAAGTTGAACAGAAATTTTCACTTTGTAGCTTATAAGAGGAATCTACTAGTTCAATGGATTGTAAAATATGCAAGAAAAGCTCGAACAATCTAATAAACATCATTGGAAATAGGGGGAAAGATATTACCAAAACTTGTAGTCTCAAAAACCTTCGAAAGGTTGAACACTTCAATCTTTGTTAGAGTTTTCTCCAAAATGTGTCATTATGATCCATTAAAATGATTTTTTCATTAGCTTTCGAACTTATAGAACTTTGATCAACCCTTAAATTACTCACGAAAAAAAATTTGCTTTGCAAAGTATAGAGAGAAATTGAGGTTTTAATTTTTAAATTTTTTTTTTCATAATTATGACTAAAGATGGATGAGATTTTATTGACTAAATTAGTTCTATTTTTAGTACTAAAAACGATTAGAAATTTCTGCCAAAACTTAGGATTGTTATGTAAGAAAAAATATCAAACATTTAGCATATATCTCTTAGTGGATTTCCCATGGTCGACATTGTTCTATCGTGCAATGGATGGAATGAAGCGAATTACAAAAATGTCATTCATGTGGAACTTTAAAGTGTTGTGTCTTGGTAGGAAAAGGCTAGTGATGGAATGGTAAAATTATTTATGTTAGAAACTTTAGATTGATGTTGTAACCATGGTTGTGAAAATTAGATCGAACAGGATGATTGAACTAGTCATACCAGAAACCAATCCTCAAATCGGTTCAATCCGGTAAAAAATAGATTTTTAGAAAAAAAAACATGATCAACATTTAAAATTTGGTGTCAAACAACTTAATATTTAAATTGTGAGCAATTGAACTAATTTGAGCATAAATTATAATGAATAGATAATGTTGGAATGTAATATGTTTTGGACTTATTTCATATAAATGTTTTACATTATGATAATATATACGTGCTTGCACACACACACACATATACACACACACACACACACACATATATATATATATATATATATATATATATATATATATATATTTTATTTTTAAATATTATTAAATATTTTTATGGAAGCCATACTATGGGAGCGAGTTATGGAGCATAGGTTGCGGCTTGATAATAATGTTTCTCAAAATCAATTTGGATTCATGCCGGGTAGGTCGACTATGGAAGCCATACATTTATTCAGAGGTTTGATGGAAAAATATAGAGGAAATAAGGAGGATCTACATATGATATTTATTGATTTAGAAAAAGCATATGATAAAGTTCCAAGAGAAGTGCTATGGAGAGTTCTTGATAAGAAAGGAGTCAATAATGCTTATATTCAAATCATTAAAGATATGTATGCATGAGCTATTACTTTTGTTCAAACACAAAGTGGTTTGACCAAGTATTTCCCTATTTTGGTTGGGTTACATCAAGGATCAGCCTTAAGCCCATATCCTTTTGCTTTAGTCATGGATGTTCTCACTAGACATTTGCAAGAGGATGTACCTTGGTGTATGCTTTTTGCTGATGATATTCTTCTTGTTGATAATACTAGAGAGGGAGTTGAAAGTAAACTTGAATTATGGAGGTCAACATTAGAGACTAAAGGTTTTCGCTTGAGTAGATCTAAAACTGAATATATGGAGTGTAATTTTAGTAGTAATAGGCCTAGTGAGGGGATTGTGACTTTGGGCGATCAAGTCATTAATAAGAGTACACGTTTTAGATATCTTGGATCTATTGTTCAGAGTGATGGTGAAATTGATGGAGATATTATCAGCAGAATTCAAGTTGGATGATTGAAGTGGAGGAATGCATCAGGCTTGTTGTGTGATAGAAAAGTACCCATCAAACTTAAGGGAAAATTCTATAAAATGGTAGTGAGGCCTGCAATGCTTTATGGTGCTGAATGTTGGCCATTAAAAGAGAAGCATAATACTAAGTTAAGTGTGGAAGAGATGAGGATGCTCAGGTGGATGAGTGGCTTTTCCCTTAGAGATAGGATACGAAATGAGCATATACGTGAAAAGGTTGGAGTAGCTCCAGTAGAAAATAAGATTAGAGAGAGTCGCCTTAGATGGTTTGGTCGCATAAAACGATGACCTTCTAATGACCCGATTAGGAGAGTAGAGGTATTAGATTTGACTTATGTTAAGAAAGGTAGAGGCAGACCTAAAAAGACTTGGTTAGAAAATATTAAGAGTGACCTTTCTTTATTAGATTTAAACGAGAATTTGACCTTTAATAGGACACAATGGAGAAAAAAGATTCATGTTGCCGACCCCACATAGTGGAATAAAGGCTTGATGTTGTTGTATTATATAATATATTTATATCTTTCTAAATTAATTCCATATTAAAAATAAAAAAAAGAATTAAATTTATAATTTAAAATTAAGAAATCGAGCTTAACAATCGAGTCAAGCTCGAGCTTTCCAAACGAGCTCGAAAAATCAAGCCGAGCTTGAGCCTCTAGATTTTTTAATGAGTCGAGCTCGAGCTGAGTAAAACTAAATGAGCCTAGCTCGATTAGTTAGATGCTTGACTCGACTCGTTTACACCTCTAAGTAATTTAATACATAAATATATTAGTAAAATTTATAAAGATTGAATAATGTATTCAAGTTCAAATATTATAATTTTCTATTTTATATCAATTCACGTATACAGGACAAGGAAAATTTAATGGAATTGAAATTAATGCTTAATTTTTCCAATATGAAATAACTGTACGTTTAATTATATTTGTTTATGGGGTTGCCTGCATAACAATTTATTACCACATCTCCGTGAAATTTCAACTTTTAATATAAATAATATAAGGCAAATACTTTGTTCATTTTCTTTGCTAGCATTCAATGTCTCTATCTTGCTTTGGATTATAATAAATGAAAGCAGCCATATTTGTATGCATATGGATATTATTGATAATTTACAAAGTATGGTTGATCTTTGGAATGCTGAGAAAGACTATTAAAACATAAAAGTCCTCCAATAACTCGATTTTCCTATTAGTGTACTTTTGATGTAGACAAAGGGGGTCAAATCAAACAAAAAAAAAAGTTTTGACTTCCCTTGAGATTGCTAGCTCAATATTTTTTTAGCTAAGATTTAGCTCATTATGAGCTGGTTTTTAGTTCATTTATTGAACTAAGAGTTAGCTCATTATGAGCTATGTTTTTAGTTCACTTATTAATTTATTAGTAGCTCATTAATTTTGTCTCTTCTCCTTCTCCTTGTCTATTCATTTTCCGTGGATGGCTCTTGGATTCTCGTGTCTTGCCTCCTTGGTTCCCACGGATGCCTCCTTGGTTCCCACTGCTGCCTCCTTGGTTCTTGCGGTTGCCTCTTCGGGTTCCGACTGGGCTGCTTTCCCGTGACTTTTGGGGGGCTTTTCCGTGGCTATGGTGCTTTGTTTTCTGGAGTTGATTGTTGGCTTTTCATTTCCCTTATTTAATTAAGAATATGAAGGGTTTTTGGGGTTATTTGTATTCCCCTCTCTTGTCTATAGATATAAGATGTTTTGTGGCTGTTTGAAACATGTTATGTGAATGATTTTTGGAAATGTAAACCTGCGGGTTTTGTTGGAAAAGCTTGCGAGCTTGTTCCATCTCTTCTACTCCTCTTCTAGGAAAGCTTGTGAGCTTCTCCTCTTTCGTCTCGGCTTCTAACCTCTTCTTCTATCCGCAAGTTTACACCCCACCTGTATCTTTCTTCTCAAGGAAAGCAACTTTAGGAGTTTGTCTTTAATTTGTGTTTGTGTCGTTTGTAAGAGTCAATGGTTTTAAGTCTTTTATTTTATATAAGTAAAGTTTGTTTAATTTGTATTTTTTATGCTTTTTATATTATCTAGAAAGGTTTAATTTTTCTAGGAAAAATTTGGTTTAGGCACCCAAATTTTTGCTTACATCATTTTGGTATCAGAGCAAGTTAGGAAGTCTTAGGTTTATGAGTTGTGTGTGTCTTGATGTCATGTTAGTTATCATGTAAGTTTTATTTTGAGTCATGTTGTCATTTGAGTCTTGGTGTCAAGTGAGCAATCTCAAGCCTTGGTGTCTCTTGATGCAACGCCTTCAGAACAAAGCTAACTCATCGGGAGATGAGTCCTCAAGTAGGGGAGTCTAATGTGGATAAGGGGGGGGGGGTCAAATCAATCCAAAAAAAAATTTGGTTTTGATTTCCCTTGAGCTTTCTAGCTCATTAATTTTTGAGCTAAGATTTAGCTCATTATGAGCTTGTTTTTAGTTCATTTATTTAACTAAGAGTTTGCTCATTATGAACTATGTTTTTAGCTCACTTATTAATTTATTAGTAGCTCATTAATTTTGTCTCTTCTCCTTCCCCTTGTCTATTCGTTTCCTGTGGATGGCTCTTGGGTTCCCGTGCCTTAGCTCCTTGGTTCCCACGGCTGCCTTCTTGGTTCTTGCGGTTGCCTCTTCGGGTTCCGCCTGGGCTACTTTCCCGTGACTTTTGGGGGGCTTTTCTATGGCTTTGGTGCTTTGTTTCCTGTAGTTGACTATTGGCTTTTCATTTCCCTTATTTAATTAAAAATATGAAGGGTTTTTGGGGCTGTTTGTATTCCCCTCTCTTGTCTATAAGTATAAGATGTTTTGTGGCTGTTTGAAGCATGTTATGTGAATGATTTTTGGAAATGTAAACCTGCGGGTTTTGTTGGAAAAGCTTGCGAGCTTGTTCCATCTCTTCTACTCCTCTTCTAGGACAGCTTGCAAGCTTCTCCTCTTTCATCTCGGCTTCTAACCTCTGCTTCTATCTGCAAGTTTACACCCCACCTGTATCTTTCTTCTCAAGGAAAGCAACTTTAGGAGTTTATGTCTTTAATTTGTGTTTGTGTCGTTTGTAAGAGTCAATGGTTGTAAGTCTTTTATTTTATATAAGTAAAGTTTGTTTAATTTGTCTTTTTTATGCTTTTTATATTATCTAGAAAGGTTTAATTTTTCTAGCAAAAATTTGGGTCACATCAACTTTGGGTGCATTAAATTTAATTTTTTGTTAGTGGACTTGAAAAAATCATAGACTTCATTTAATCATCACTTTGAATGTTGAATTCTTAACATCAACCACATATGTTACTTATAAGGAACTCACGATTAAAATTTAGCTAGTCGGACAACTATTATTTTTATTTTTTTTAAAGTTGAGTGCAGAAGCATGAATCTATGAAATCACATACAAGGATGTCAATTCTTGAACTCAAGACCTCTTGAACGGAGCATAAGCTCTTAACCAACTAGGCTACAGATGGAAGTGATCAACTAGTATTTAGAACCCATACATAAATATTCAGTGAAACATGCTATAGATTTTCTGCTTTTGATTTTCTTTTAAATGAGGATTTGAATTGCAGACCACCCCTTTGGAGGCAAGGAGAAATTAAAATTCCATGGGGCTACATGCACACTTGTAACCAAACCACAGCTGTTATGTATTTTCTTTTCGATGCGCTTCTATTGTGTATTCTTAGTAACAAGGATGATCCCTTTTTTTTTCCGTCTTGAGCTACTACTTCATTGTTAGGCAGGGATTCTAGCTTTCCTCTTGTATGCAGAATGAGATTTTCTAACAGTAGTTTGTAAAAGAAAAAGCATTCGGCCTGAAGCGAGAAATTATACTCATGAAGTTTCTTTCTTTCTTGTGTGTTTTCTCAGCAAGACATGCTTGAATTTGGCCATCTCACGAATCAAGCTACTTCACAATAGGAGAGAGCTTCAACTGAAAAATATGCGTAAAGAGATTTCCCAGTATCTTCAGACCGGCCAAGAAGCCATTGCTCGGATCAAGGTATGTGCTAATCTTTTTCAATCATGAAAATAATTGTTCTCTTCAATCAAATTTTGTTTTGTTAAATTAATTATTTATGCAATGTTAGGTGGAGCATGTCATTCGTGAGCAGAACATATCATCTGCTTATGAGATTCTAGAGCTGTTCTGTGAATTTCTAATTGCACGAATCCCTATTCTTGAAGTCCAAAGGTGAAGATATGTGTTTCTAACAATGCAACAATGCACTCTTATACAATCTTGTGCCTTGTGAATTCAGGCTGTCTTAAGTCCTCAAAAGTGAGTTCTGCTTTAATTTGTGCTCAGAATTAAGTAGGTCTAACTTTCCCCAGTCACAACTCGGAAAAGCATAAGCTTCTTCTATCTGTTATGTGGATGCTGGGTAAGTGAATAACATTGTGTGAAAAGTTCAAATTTGAGCTTGATTAAAAATTATGATCCCTTTTTATGTTCTTATCCTTCCATCATATAAAGAAGAAATTGAAAAAATCTTATATCAAACTTTTCTTTGCTCTACATCATAGTTAATCTTATCCTAACTATTTTAAGTTGGCTTTATAGATCTTACTCCATTAAATGAGTTTTGCATGAAGTTTTAAAATTTCAGCGCAAAAGTTTTTCTTGCACTTCCACTCATGTTAAATTTTCTCTACCCATTTTCCTTACAAATATTTTTTCATTAAATTTATCTACCTTATTATGGTATTTTTAACTCTTTTTTGTACATTTTAAAAGACTTCTATCTATTTTTTACTATTTTATCTTCAATGGTTTATTCCCCTAATATCCTTCTAGTATGTGATGAGCACTCAATGAGAACTCCATGGGCTATAAGACTTACATTGCTTGAACACGAGAAACTATCTTTTCAAAATTATGAGTACTTTTTCAAAAGAAAAGTGAAAAATCAATAACCATGTAGATATCCTATGGAGCCGAAGGCCTAAAGTTTGTGCTTTATGATGAAGTTGATTTTACAATCCTGACATGATTGTGCAATACCATGAAGCTTGCTATTAGTAAGACATATATTGTCTTCTCTACCACAAAAGAAGTTTGGGATATCGTCAAATAAACATACTCAAAAGTGACGAATATTTCTCTCATCTGTGAGGTCAAAATTGAGATTTAAACAGTTAAAAAGATAACATTCTTGTTATGTAGTACTTTATTCTAATGAAAGTTTATTTGTTTGAACTAGATTGTTACCAAGATTTTAAGATGACATGTTGCAATGATATGGTAATTCTCAAACAATTTATAGAAAGAGAAGTGGTGTTAATTTCTTATAGGACTAAATAATGATTTCTATCAAGTTTGTGTCTAAATCCTAATCCAAGAATCTATCATCACTAAATGATATTTTTTTCTCTCATATGAGTTGGAGAAGGAATATGTCACGACCCGGCCCGGATGCTCGATCTAACGAGGCGGGTATGGAAAGTCCGACAGTAATATCATTAAACATTTCATTTACTTCTTCATTTATTCCGAATAGCCACTAAAAAAAACAAAAATGTATATTTATCTGTTTTCATTTGCACGTCGTCTTCTATTAACATGTTCTTTTCTTTAAGCCATCTCTTTACCTTTAGGAATTTACCTGAAACATTTAGATTCGTGGTTTGAGTTTACTAAATAAACTCAGTTGGTAATTCTCATCCTCACTTAATATGCATAAAATTCACTAAGATACAATAAATTTAACCTTTACATTAGTGTACTTTTGCTTTACTTTATTCATTTCCTTTCATGAATTTCATTTAAACATTTCTCAATCATATATCTCATCATATAACATCATATTCATTCATAAAATTTCCATTAATCTATATTCCTTTTCCTTTTTTTTTGAATTCGTACAGGAGCACCGTCTAAATGTACCCAAAGGTACAACCATTTCCATTTCCTTTATATATTTCCGTTTCCTTTTTCCTTTTTACGTGCACAGGTACATTGCTTCCCCAGCTAGTACTATACATGGGCGAACTCCTGTATACTTTGCATGCATAATCTTTTCATTTTGTTTCATTTGATACTATATCATTTTCCCTTAATGTTTATGTATCTGTGTTCTTAGATGTATAGATATGCATTTCAGCTATTTTCCATTTTCTTTGCATATATTTTCTTTCACATATATTGATAAACTTTCACATGCTTATAGTATTTCATTCATTTCATTTATACAACTTCGATATCAATGCATGTATTATAATTCACATTGTTTCTCATCTATAGTTATCTTCAAATGAAATAGCATGTATAAAATACAACCAATTGTATGTACTATAATTTGAATTTTGAAATGAAAATAACTAGTAAAAATTTTCACAAGCATAATTACCCACTTTATTCCTCCCAAAACTTTGTTTTTTGGAGCAACCTCAACTTCGAGTTCCTACAACTTTCCCAAAATGTAACTTCTATAAAAACGTGCTTTTATAATAAAATTGAAATAAACTTGTATAATAGGAGAGTCACTTGCAAAGGAAAAATGGAGATTTCTCAAAATCCCTAAACTCTTCTCTCCCAAAATTCATTTCCCTTGCCTTCAATTCCTTCTTCTATATCTAAATTAATGTTTCTAAGGGTTAGAGAAATAATTAGGAAACAATTTATACAAAAAAATTTGCATATCAAACCTTTTCCCTCTTTCCTCGTCGTTCCTCTCGCTCGTTTCAATTTCTCCCAAATTAGTACTCCTTTAACTGTGGGAAAGAAAAGGAATGATTGATTCTTATCATTGAAGGAGATCATTCACTAAAATTGAAAAAAAATGAAACCTACCTTGTTCTCGCCTGAAGCCCCGACCGTCCGCCCTTCTCTGTTCGTGAACTGCTTCTATTTCGCGAACAGTTCCGTCCGCTGCTTATAATAGGTTTGGCCGGTTCAATTGAACCGGCCGGACCGAACCAGTTATTACAATCTCCCTTATAAAAATTTTGTCCTCGAAATTAATCAAGTATAAAGAAACATACCTTAGTTAAAAAGATGAGGTTATTGACTTCTTATTTTAGCTTCCTTCTCCCAGGTGGCATCTTTTTCTGTTCCATGCTTCCACAAAATCTTCACAAAAGGAATTATTCTATTCCTCAGCTGTTTTATTTCATAATCCAGTATTCTTTCAGGTTCCTCAACATATAAAAAAAATAAAAAAATAAAAAAAAGGTTCCTCAACATATTTCAAATAAGGTTGCAATTCAATTGATTTGGACTGGATTCTCTTTGAATCATCTGAGACATACTTTCGAAGCACTAATATGTGAAACACATTATGAATTTCTTGCATATGCACTGGCAGATCCAATCTGTAAGCCATATTTCTAATCCTTTCTATAATTTCAAAAGGTCCTATAAATCTTGGACTCAGTTCCCCTGTCTTTCCAAATATTTGAATACCTTTCCAAATCTTTGAATACCTTTCATTGGGCTGACTTTTAAGAAAACAAATTCTTCTACTTCAAATTCCACGGGTCGGTGGTTTGCATTATAATACTTCTGTTGCCTATCTTGAACTGCCTTTAGTCTGTCTCTAATCAATCTGATTTTTCTAGTAGCCTCATCTACCAGTTCAGTTCCAATTACCTTTCTTTCATCAGTTTCTACCCAACACAAGGGTGTTATGCACTTTCTTCCATAAACAGCCTCATATGTTGCCATTCCAATACTAGCTTGAAAACTGTTGTTGTAAGCAAATTCAATCAATGGTATATGAGTCTCCCAATTTCCTCCAAAATCTAAAACATATAATCGCATTAAATCCTCCTAAGTATGAATTGTTCTTTCTAATTGCCCATCTGTTTGTGGATGAAATACGGTACTGAAAGTCAATCGTGTGCCCAAAGCCTCCTGATTTTCTTCCACAATTTAGAAGTGAAACGGGCATCTCTGTCTGAAACTATAGATTTTGGAACTCCATGCAATCTTAGAATTTCATCAATATATAATTTTGCCAACGTTTCCACTGAATCTGTCTGTCTGATTGGTAAGAAATGAGCTGGCTTGGTTAATCTGTCAATAATAACTCATATTGCATCTCTACTCTTCCTTGACCTAGGTAATCCAATCACAAAATCCATCGCAATGTCCTCCCATTTCCCCTCAGGTATAGGTAAGGGTTGCAGTTGACCACTTGGATTTTTGATGTTCTGCTTTAATCATTTGACAGGGAATACATTTTGCTATAAATTATGCAACACTCCTCTTTAATCCTGGCCACCAAAACAATCCTCTAAGTTCCTGATACATTTTTGTACTACCTGGGTGAATTTCATATGTTGAGAGGCGAGCTTCCTACAATATCTCTTCTCTTAAGCTTCCAACATTTGGAATACAGATCCTACCTTTATATTTTAATAATTCTTCTCCATCCATAAAAAAGTTCTCTAATTGTCCTGCTTGCACCTTCTTTATGATGGCCTGAAATTTTTCATCATAAGATAATGCATTGAGCACTCTATCTTTCAACGTAGATTGGATCATCAGCTGATTCAACATCATATCTTTTGTCTCTTTCAGATTAACCACTGAAATTTCTAACTTTTTCATATCTCTGATTATCTGCTCCTATTGGGTGATTAGCCAATTTGCATTTCCAAGTGCTTTTCTGCTAAGTGCATCTGCAACTACATTTGTTTTTCCAGGATGATACTGTATGTCCAAGTCATAATCTTTAATGAGCTCTAACCACCTTCGCTGTCTCAAATTAAGCTCTTTTTTATTGAAAATATACTTGAGACTCTTATGATCTGTAAACACTTCGCATTTGACCCCGTATAGGTAATGTCTCCATATTTGAGTGCAAAAACTACAGCTGCCAATTCTAAATCATGAGTGGGGTGGTTCCTTTCTTGAATTTTCAGTTGCCTTGAAGCATAGGCCGTCACTCTACCATGCTGCATCAATACACATCCAAGTCCTCTCAAGGAAGCATCACAGAAAATTTGGAACCCTTCTGAACCTGATGGAATTGTCAAAATCGGGACAGTCATTAAACAATTCTTTAATTTCTGAAAAGCTATTTCATACTGATTACTCCATTCAAATTTTACTGCTTTCTGTGTTAATCTTGATAATGGCATTGCAATATGAGAGAACCCCTCTACAAACCTCTTATAGTAGCCTGCCAATTCCAAAAGTGATAGACTTCACTATGGAATTGATACCTGGTTCAGAACCAGTGGCAAAAG